TTCGTTTAATGACCTCAGTCTTTGCTTATCAACTGCAGTGTTCATTTAATGACTGCTGCATTGGCTTGACAACTGCAGCAAGAAAGATGGTAAAATCTGGTCCAGTCATGTGATCACCCACTTTATGACCATCATGACTTATGACCATAATTGCCAGGCTCATAACAATCATACGTCGAGGCCTACTTGTTCGTTAGCCGTGTGGCCTATGGGTTGAGAGACCTGCAAGAACCTGAAGTAATTTACCACACAAATAAAAATAAAAGGCAATCTCAGGTTCTTGAAAGAAAAGTTGGAATAAAAAAAATACTTAGTTAATAACATACTTTTTAATCTTTTGAGGACATTTCCCTATTGGAGGTAATAGTGCTTGCTTATTGTATATTTGATCTCTACTTATACAAATGTTTGTTCTGGAGCCTATAGATGAATTGTGCCATTATCTAAAAGAACTCAACATTATTTTCAGATGAGGTAATATTCCTCCAACCAATTTGAAGGAGAAAGTGGATTATTTTTGATGCAATCACACGCTATCTCTCTTGTTCCAACCATTTGTGTTAACATCTTGGACAGAGATGAATCTATGAATACAAAACTATAACTTATGAAGTGCCTGTCCTTAACATCTATGTGATCAATGCAATTTTTTTTAAAAAAAAAAAAATCAAATTCCATTTGCGTTGATTTAAGAGATTTCATTTCAACTGAGTCATAAATTCCCTTTGAAACATCTATTGCAGGGAATGAGTCCTTCATGTCAACTACTGAGTTCTGGAAATTATAATTTAGCTTTTCTCAGCCAAGTTCCCTAGATATAGTGCTTTCTCAAAATTTCATTAGTATTCAAGGTATCTTCTTATTCGCAGCTTGAACAGTCAGGTGCCAGAGAATGATTTTAGCAGACACACTTCTTCGGAGCCAATTGCTCTCTTGTATCCAGGGTTTTACTGGAGTCTCCTTGATTTCTTAGCATGCTGTATTTAGTGATAGTGGGATAGTTCATCGCTTACTTTAGGAAAGGACAAAAGCCACATTTGTCAACAGGTTGGTTACTGTCATTCAGTCGTTCTCATCTAATCTGCCCGGTTAATCCGTATGCCATTTTAGACTCTACTCTTCAGCAGAATGAGGTGGCTGCTGATCCTGGAGGGGAAAGCACAGATTTGAGAGAACTGAGAGTTCGCTACATATGCCTTGAATTCTCTTGAGCTATTCAGTAGTTTTCTAATGCAATGTTAAACTACGGTCCTCGACTTACAACCATCATGGAGTCCGGCATTTCTGTTGTACATCACAATGGTCATAAGGCGAGGTACTCGTGTGATCGAGCTGAACTGACAATGTTTTTGTGACAGTCTTTAAGTGAATGTAGCAGTTGTCAAGTGAAATGCCGTGGCTAAGGAAGTCAATGCATTCCTATGGGTGTTTCCTTGCCAAAAAGGCTGGTTTCTGGCAAAAAAATGTCATAAATCATGTCATGTGACCATGGAAGAGTGCAACCCACTGTAATGGTGAGCCGATTCCCAAGTGGCCCAAATGCGAGTCATGTGACCATGGGGGTCTGTGTGCCGTCATTGGAACTCCAGAACTGGATCATGAGTACCTTTTTTTTTGGGAGGGGGTGTCCATCGAAACTTCAAATGGTCGATAAGCTACCAATCATTAAGCGAGGACTGTAACATTCAGCTACTATCCTCTAGGTCTAGGCCTTGGTATGTGAAACAGAAGGAGGGTAATCAATATTATCTTTTACCTCAAACAATAAACATTTGAGGGTCTGTGAGTGGATGTGTAACATCTCTTGCAAGAGAGAATAGTTAATTTTGGAGCCCTCTGGTCATCTCTTATTTCTCTGCCTCAACGGGTGTTTCCAGACCAGTTTAAAAAGGGCTTCCCAGCTGACATCATAAGCAACTTTCACTCACAAATGTGACAATTGGCAGCCTCTTAACCTTTGTTACTGTGACCTAATGGAAGGATCCATTAGTTGTCTGCCAAACTTTTTCAATATGTTACAATCTAATTTTAGAAATGGGCCTTTGATTTAATTTGAAATGCTCCTATTGGAATTAATGCAAACAGAACCATAAGCTGATCTTACCGTAAAATGAGTTAAACACGAGTGCGGTAACAATAAAGTATCTCAGTGCTGGTATAGACAAAGCTTAGATTTTTTTTTCTTCCAAGATGCTGTGACTGATTTGAATTAGTTCTAAGATGCAAGGGTGGCTGTGAGAGAGCCAAGCCTTTTCAGATGCTGAAATTGTGTTATCAGGAGGAAAATGATTTTCCTCATGAAAAAGAATAGTTCTATTAGACAAAAATGAGAGCTTTATTCTGAAACAAATTCACTTTCAGATATGGTTCATTAATACCCCAAATCAGTGATTGCTTTATTACATTTCTGTCCTGTTTTTTTTTTCAAGAAAGCTCAGAAAGACATTTGCAGCTTATCACCTGTGAGACAGGTTAGGCTGAAGAAATGATTAGTCCTATAGTATCACCCGAGTAGAGGGTGAGAATCCTATATCCAGTCAGATGGATAAGGCAAGTTGCACTAAATGCAGAATACATGGGGACTAGAATTTATAGAAGCCCTCTATTAATTTCGGTTTCCAGATGAGCTGATGACCAGATGTTTAATTATTGCTAATTTGTTAGATTTTTTTTCTTCCATTCAAGTCACGTTTGTTTCCCTGCAGTTTCTTGGCAAGATTTTTTCAGAAATGGTTTGTCATTGCCTCCTTCCTAGGGCAGAGAGAGAGGGATTGGCCCAAGGTCACCAAATGGCTTTGCACATAACCTGGGATTAGAACTCATAGTCTCCCAGTTTTTAGTCCAATGCCTTAATCTCAAACTGCAATTATATTTCAGTTCATTTTGTCATTTGGTCAACTGGAAGAACGTGAACCAGTTCCACACCTTTGGCACAAATCCAGCTGAGCGACCTTGGGTCAGTCATTTTCTCTCAGTTTGAGGAAGGAGGCGATACCAAGAAAACCGCAGACTAGTTAAGACAACCCCCATGAATCAACCACTAACTTGAAGGCACTCCCCTCCCAAAAGCATTTCTATTTTAGCATTTTGCTTCATTGTCCAGCAATGATTCTATTAATGGTTTCATGGAGCATTGTTGGATACTCTTGTTTTGGCCACCACCACTCCTATCACAGATCTATCACCTCTGCAGAGATCTTACCTATCTCAGATTTGTTGAAACCTTTATTGTGATAATGAATCCCATAAATATATCCATGAAGCACTTGCTTTTACCATAGCCTTCATTCAGCTTGCTGTAAGAACATAAGGCAAACCACAAACTTGTGATCACTTTTTGTACAACCATTAGCTGTTGTTTCTTTTCCAAGGGACACTGCTTTGTTGATTTGATTCTTGTTGCACTTGACTATTGAAGACCCCTCTCCCCCAAATGCTCGCCCAAGGAGAAGTCTCATAACCCCAAAATGACCAGAGAGTAAGCTAAGGACTTAAGAGGGCTTTCTCCCTTTAAACTAAGGCTTACTACAAATACAGACATCTTTCTCCTTTCTTTCAGGGTGGAATAAAAGGTAGACTACTATCAAGGGTTACAATGTTGTTTTATGTTCTAATGAAGTGCAATGAATTACTTTGGTGATATCCTTCCTGGCCGCAAAAACATGCCAGGCCCTAATACAGAAGGACTACCTGAATAAAATTAAATTAGGGGGACAAGGTTGCGTTATGTTTGCATGTCCATGGTTGAGAGGGTGGGGGGAAAAACAATGTACAGCCAAGAACCAAGACAAAGGAGAAATCTGATGGTGATATTTCCTACTTCAAGTGTGTCTCATCATCTGAGGGAAAACACATGCACTCAAGTTGTTTGTAACAAAAGCTGTTCTCATTGATCAAAAAAAGGGTGAACTTTAGGAAGAGCAAGGGTCATAATCCACTTCAAAGACACAGAAACAAGTCATCGTACTGAGCTATCTATTTCATCAAAAGGCTTGAAATATATTCTGGCAAGGCAAACTACATTGCTTTAGCTGTGCCCTTACTCAAGACAAAGGCATGGATGTATGTTATGTTGGATTCTTTCTAAGGCTGGACATTCGTTTCAGCTAGGAAGTACTTTTGCAGATGAATTCTATCTACATGAAGGAAAATACACAAGGTTTACTGAAAATCTTGATTTGGTCTATGAAATATATAAGGAAACACCAATGTGAACTACAAATCAAAGAATCCTCTATCTGGACTGCATAATATCCTATCCATTCTTCTCTATAAATTCAAAAACAGAGAAAAATAGAATCCAAACTGGGCAAACAACAAGGGCACAAAACTCACAATGATTACACATTCAGAATTTTCTTCAATTTTTTTTTATTGGCAACTTTACAATGGCAGTGATCAACAAAATTACTTTATTACCAAAAGGCAGGTGCCTGAAGATACTTTGGTTGTTAAGTGCCACTGGATACAATCCAGCCGCATTCAAATCCGTGTACTTTGATGTTTCCTCTGGAAAGATGGGGATTACATCCACTGCCTACCACTGAAGTATTATAAAACAAAACATTTCCCACGATCTGGGCAAAGAAATCCTAAATATCCACAGTGATTATACAGTCTTTCAACAAATATCTTGGAAGCATTCTTTTATGTACAAACAGTTTGTGCACATCGACAACACTACTATCTATAAGTGTTTAAAGTCATTATCTGTACAATTAGGCACACAAGCAGTACAACTTTGTCACCTAACAATGTTTTTAGGCTCTGCCCAGACACTCTCTCATCAAAATGTAAAAGGTTTTAATATTTTTTTTTTTATAAATAAGTCCATTGATTTCCACAGAAAACTAATAGCAAACAAAATATTCCAATTGGGAATAAACTTGTATATTATCTTGAAGGGTTATTCCCCCCTCCAAAATCTTGTGAGTGACTATACAGTACATACAAATGAGCCGGTATGTTTGTTAAGTCCCACCTCATTACAGGCATTAAAGAAAACAGAAAATTATGTTAGCTGGAATGGAAGCTGGAAGACTCCGATTCTGTTGAGACAGAAGAATGTCCTGCACGCTTCCCTTTGGAAAGGATCTTAAGGCTTGATCCCCTGCTGACAGAGGTGAGTGCATTTTGAGCTGATGTCTTGAATTTGGCACCCAGAAAAGCATATAGGATGGGATTCAGACAACAGTGGAAGAATGCCAGGCTTTCGGTAATGGTGGTCCACTTACGCACGAGTATTTCAAAACTGCAGCCTCTCTTGATGTACTTGAGGAGGATGAAAGTGTCTACACTGAGAACAATGTAGTATGGTAGCCAGCAAGCAAAGAAGGCCACAATCAGGATGACGGTTGTCTTCAAAGCTTTACGTTTCTGATGACCCTTTGATTTTGACAGCTTAGAAATTATAATGCAGTAACAAGTCAGTATGATAAGGCCAGGCAAGACGAGGCCTACTAAAATTTGCTGGAATTGGAAGGGGACTTGCCAGGTCAGGTCAGTGTAAAATCGCTGGCACATGTATTTTCCGCCAACCTCGGTAACACGAGCAAAGATAATGTCGGGTATAGTCAACAGCAAAGCTGGCAGCCAAACACCGATGTAGACAATCCTTTTAGCCAACAATTTCCGAGCTCTCTGACTGTTGGTAGCATGTACAATTGCCAAGTATCGATCTAAGCTGATGAAGGCCAGGATCAGGACACTGCTGTACAAATTGACAGTGTAGATGATGTGAACTATTTTACACAAGACTTCCCCGAAGTACCAGCTTATCACAGCATCCACAGACCAGAATGGCAAGCTGATGACGAAGAGGAGATCGGCTACTGAGAGATGGACCCTGTACTTGTCAGTTATGCTCTTCAGCTTCTTCTGGCAGCCCATGACAACTATCACCAAGCCATTGCCAACAACTCCTGTCAAGAAAATGATGGAGAAGATGGTGGGCAAGAAGATTCGATTGAAATCTTCGTTTTCCTCTTCAAAGCATAGTCCTGTGAAGTTATCTTCTTCTCCGGAGCCTGGCTCACCAGTATTATTATCAAGCACAAGTGTAAAAAATCCAGAAGAATACATCTGTAAATGACAAAAGAAAAAAAAAATTAGAAGGTGGCAAACATAGGCAGACTATTCAGCGGCAAGCAAGAGTCAGCACTGGATCATGCTTCAGCAGTCAAGACCTCTGGGCTTCAACTCCCAGAATTCCCTAGCTGGCATAGCTAGACTGGCTGTGGAATTGTGGGAGTTGAGGTCCAAAAGTCTTTAAAGTTGCCAAGTTTGGAGAACCCTTACTCTAATGCAACAAATTTAGCTCCGGTGTTAACTGGCAATTATCAGATGCAGGAGCAAAGAGATGATCAGAAATGTCACATTTTCAACCAATTCATTCCAACATGCACATCTCAACTCTCTGAAGGACTTTTCAAATATAAGAAAACACACACAAACCACATTCAGCTTATATGAAAGTGAGCGGCAACCACTGTACAGATATATGTTTTAGTTAGACAGGATGTATACCCACCAGGTCAATCACTGCTTTCTAATGATTGCTTCAAGGAATTTTCTGAATGCCTAGATCAGGGGTAGGCAACCTTGGCTCTTTTATGACTCGTGGACTTCAACTCCCAGAATTCCTGAGCCAGCATGGCTCAGCTTGGAAACCTCTCCCTTTCCCCTCAGCATGGCCAGCTTAGGAATTCTGGGAGTTGAAGTCCACGAGTCATAAACGAGCCAAGGTTGCCTACCCCTGGCCTAGATGCATCACATTTTTCTATTCAAATTTGATGATTACAAAATGGATCTTCTCAGGAATTTATTGGGAAAAAAAACCCCTTATACCAGTGGTTCTCAACCTTTTTAATGCCGCGACCCCAACCAGTCGTAAGTCGAGGACTAAACCGGTCGTAAGTCGAGGACTAAACCGATCATAAGTTGAGGACTACCCAACCGGTCGTAAGTCGAGGACTTTCCCTGCCCGGGAGCGCCACGCATGCGTGGTTCCGCCCCTGCGCCGGTCGAGGCGTAGCTGGCAAGCGGCAGAGACGGAGCAGGCCAACCACCAGCTGGCCCAACCCAAGGGAGGTAAGGCACCCGCTGGAAAAGGGGGAAAAAAATGGCGGACAAAAAAATGGCAGACAGCCTTGCTTGGCGACCCCCATGAAATGGTCGATCGACCCCAAATGGGGTCCCGACCCACAGGTTGAGAACCACTGCCTTATACAATGATGCTTCCATTTGGATATGGTTACAGCAGCTTTGAAAATCATTCTATAAAAACATGCAGGTTGTTGTTGTTATTGTGGGGAAAATAGGAGGAAGAACTATGAGGTATGTTTTCCGCCTTGAGTTATTCATAAAGTAATAAAGGTGGGATAAAAATCTAGTAGAAAATAATACATAAATAAAATGTTTTGTGCAGACTGTCCCCATGTAGGGAAGAGGCAGTATTGGATGGTTCATGCCTAGACCAAAACACATGTGCTTCATCTGAGAAGAGATATTCTTCATGGGAGACAGAAGGAAACAAACACAAAACCAGGATCAGCTAAGTGTGAGTTAGAGGAAGGGCGGTGCTGGGAAGATCAGAAAAGAAGGCAGACTTTAAGTACTTGAAGTAGGAGATAAGGTCCTGAAAAGAATGGCAAGTGGGCTGCAGCACAGGCCATTTTGAGAAAGAGAGAGTAGTGATGCAGTAGCTTTGCCCTAGTAATCAGGGATAGGCAACCTTGGCTCTTTTATGATTCGTGGACTTCAACTCCCAGAATTCCTGAGCCAGGAATGGTTGATTTACAAACTGATCAATGCTGGCTCAGGAATTCTGGGAGTTGAAGTCCACGAGTCATAAAAGAGCCAAGGTTGCCTACCCCTGAACTAGTTTGTTTGTATCCCACCTTTATTATTTTTAGAAATAACTCAGGGTGGTGAACATATCCAACAAACCCTTCCTCATTTTCCCCACACCAATCCTATGAGGTGTTAGGCTGAGGGAGAATGACTGGGTCAAAGTCACTCAGCCGAGACTTGTTGCCTAAGGCGGCACTAGAGCTCACAATCTCCTGGTTTTCTATCCTGTTGCTTTAACTACTAGACATAACTGGCTCAGTTACCCATAGGTCGTTTCTAGTTTTTCTTGGATGAAACCTGGAACAACCAAACTGTACCAGGTTTTACTTTAACCTGATTATGGTCTGCTCAAAACAGAGTTCAAGTGGCAAACCAAACTATTTCTTCTATCGATGAAACAAAATGTATTTTATCAATTCGTACATACCTCTACCATATTTTGCTATATTCTTCTGAAGTAAGAATCAAAATAAGCAAAGCTAGATCATGACTGCAATGGTTGATTTACAAACTAATAAGGATTCAGAGGAGACAGTTTTGTAAACAGTCACCTGCAAGCTCCTGGATTATCAGATAAAAGAATTACCTTCTTATTGGTTCAAAAGAAACCCATTAGAAGGAAACTGAAGTGGTCTCCACCTTAACACAGATAGTCCTCCTTTAGTGACCATAATTGGGACCAGAAATTCTGTTATTAAGCAAAGCGGTTGCTAAGTGAGCTTGCCACTGTGTTTATGAACTTGCTTCAACTTTCTTTTTGCTTTACAGATCAGCAAAACTTGTAAATGACAGGATTGGTCATAAAGCCACTTTTTTTATCACTGTCGTATCTGCAAATGGTCACCAAATGAGGCAGCTGCTAAACCAGGCCTATCTGTATACTGGGGGATAAATTGGTACTAAAGTATAAAGTGGGATGTGAAAATTCATGTAAATCTAATCCTTTCATTTCAACAATCCTGTTAAAGAAGTCCCTGGGAGGATTAGAAGAATTATTTTCAGTTGAATCAGACATCAAGAGCCTGTTAGTGAAACTATTTTCTGAGGTCTGGGGGGGGGGGGTCTGAACAGTAAAAGAATCACTTCTTCCATATTTTCCCCTCCTTGGAGGCAAATAATGTGCCAGGACTTCTTGACCACACTGATTCACAGGCAAGAGGTTGGTTCATTAAAAAACAAAAACAAAAATCCAGACATGTTAAAAAGTGGCGATGAAGTAAGCAAGACTTAAGAGTTCATCAGAACTCTTTGTCAGCCTGACCGATATCCCAAACTAAAAACAACCGAGAGACTTTATTTATTAAATTTATATGCTGCCCCATTTTGTAGTTCCAGGCGATTCTGAGCAGCTTATAAGATGTGGCGGTAAATTTAAAAATGTCAAACCAACGCAAACACGGTGCGGCAAGAGGCTGTAAAAAGCCCAAGTTTGCCCATTCAAATTCTCCTGCCAGCAAAGCTCTTTCTCAGATCCTTTTGCCCGCCAGAACAAAAAGGAGGGAGAAGCTTCAATTGAGCAAGGCAACAGATGGGGGAAAAAAAAAGAGAAGTGCAATCTCAGGAAACCACCAGCCGTTTGAAAAGCAAGTCAGGGAGTGGTCACCTGGCCACCGCCTCCTTCAGTCCTCATCCTCCCTCTCTGGCCTTGCAGAAAGACTACCCTTTCTTTTTTTTGCTGGAAGGCGCTTCTACAAAAGGGCTTGACAACACATTCAAAACAGAGGCTGTTTCTATTCAGGCCGGGAGGCTTTTTTGAAAGGGCGCCTTCTGGCTCCAAGGAGGATTCTCCCATCCAGGGTACAAAAGGGATACTTTTCTGAACCGAAACGGGACCAAGCCTCCACATTCCCACGCATTCAAGTAGAAATGAAAAGGGCAGGGGGTTTCTAAGCGTTCCTCAACGTTTTCTTGAACCCAGGGCTTTTCCCACTTTATGGAAAGAGCCTGCCGTTTGATTCTCATGCTTCCCACAAGTTGGGGAAATATGCCAATATCCAGGCGGAATCCCTGCCAGTTAAACATTTCGGGGGTTCTAGTTGTTGTCCTATACTTTATATACGTTTATACTTTTGCTCATAGACCAAGCATTTTTTTTGTTTTTATTTTGCTCATAGACCAACTCCCCCCCCTCTTTCACTCTAGATTCTAGGAGAAAAAAAAATCCACCCTAGTTTGCCTTACACATAAAGATTCGGGTTTTTTTTTTAACACGTCCCGAGCTCTACTTAATGACAAAAGCAAGAAACGGTATGAGTCAAGGACTGCTCGGAAACGTCCGAAAACGGCGCGCCCCAACAACGTCTAAAACTTTTCTCATGCAAGGTTTCCTTTTAATATTAGTCAATCGCGCTTCCTAAGGCAGCCAAAGATCCCGCCAAATTTCTCACACATGTTCCAAGCCCGGCGAGTTTTTTTTTTTTTTTTTAAGATCCTAGGGATGGGGGGGGCGAGATCAACGAAAGCAAAATCGAAGTTTAATTACACCTCCTGTGCACTCTCTGCAATCCAGAGAACGGTCCCTCGCAGGTCCCCGCCCGACCCCACGCACTTTTACGCAGCCAGGCGCGCTGCTTTCAAAGGCGCGCTTTCTCCGCGGCGAGCCCGCAAAAGCCGCTCCACGGAGCTGCCTTTTACAAGTTGAGAGAGCGCGCAACATTTGATATAGGCTCGGGGCAAGAAACCACCTCCTCCAAAGCAAGGGGAGACCTATAGGCTTGCACGACCTATAGGAGAGCGCTTACTACAAGGTGCAATTCACGAGCCACGGCCCGGTCCGCTTTTTTTAAAAAAAAACGGCACCTCTGCGAGTCGGCACAGCTACAAAGATTCTCCCGCTTGGAGCAACTGTGGATTTTTTTTTTTTGATTTTTTTTTGCGGTCCCAGATTAGATAGATCTAGTAAACCTCAGCCAGGTCGGGAATGAGAACCGCTACACTGCTTGTAATCTAAAGATAAAAGCCCACGGTTGCGCGTGTCCTTGTCCCGCTCTCCCCGAAAGAGCTTTGCGAGATCGCGTCGGGCAAAGCACGTCCCGATATTTAGGAACCTCCAACCAGGCGCTCGCGCTCCCGTCCGTCCGTCCGTCCGTCCACCCACCTCCCCCCCATCCATCCATCCATCGGTGCCCGGGCAAACATCTCGCGCCTCCCCTTACATCCAGATTCGTATCCATTGCTCGAGCGCTCCCCGGCAGCAGGCTCCGCTTCTGCACCTCGCCAGCAGCCGCGGCGCCACTCACAGCCAAAAAGTTCCCGTCCCGCAGCTACCCGCGTCTCTTATAAAGCGGCCCCCTTCTTCGAGCCGGCCCGTAAAGCTGCCGGCAGCTCCGCCCAAGTCTGGGCTTCGGAGGCGGCGGGGGAGGGGGTGATTGACGGATCGTCCAAAAAAAAAAAAAAAAAAGGTACCCCCGAGCATGCGCCGAGCTACCTGTTTTGTGACCGGCAGCTGTGCCTTCGATGGGAATCTCCAGTTCCCCCCCCCCCTTAGTTTTGCTGTCTGCGCTGTGAGTGGGGGCTTCTCTTTTCTGTCGTGCGATTGTGCGTCTGAAGGCATCTCGGGAGAGTCCCGGGACCACGTGCTCTAATAGGATAAATAGCTAGTAGAAAAAATATATATATATGAAAGGAACAATGCCTGAAACAAGTCAAAGGAAGTTTGATTTAAGGGGGGGGGGCGTTTTCTAAGAACTCAAATCTTAGCCTGAGGCTGTTATACTGTACACAGTTTTCCTAATAGATGCAAACAAGAAACTTAAATCTGACTCTGGAATCTTAGGCTGCAAGTTCAACTCAAGTTTTGAAGTCCTTTACTCCTCCAGTAACCTCGTTGAGTTTGCTCCTTACTTCTAAAACGGGCAGCCACAAATGCTCCTGTTTCTGAAGACAATGACTGCCTTGCTCTGTTTTGTCGCCCTTGCTATCAAATTGCATTGTCTGCTTCTGCATGCTGTATGCAGGTTGTGTTTCTGCTTGTCCCGGCAGATGGTTGCGCCCCCTTCACCGGGACAGCTTTAATTTGTGTTGCAGCAATTCCTGTTCTTGAACCTTGCTGTTACAAGACTCCTTTGCTGGTTTTTATCTGGACCGGGGGTGGGGTGGGGTGGGTGAATGGACAACTCTGAGCCCTTTATGATCTGTGGACTTCAACTCCCAAAATTTCTCAGCCCACCATGTCTGCAGGTATAATCCATAGAAGGGGCCATTAGTTGCCCACCCCTGATCTAGACCTACCTCTGGGGCTGCAGTCCAGTACTTAGCCGCCTATAACTTCCTGGATTTTCCTAAAGGACAATGCCTTGATTTCTAGCCAACATTATTGGGGCAGACCTTGGAAAAGTATTGATTGCTCTATACACTGATTTCAGATTAGTGAGATCATAAACAGACTTCTGCCTAAGCATGCGTGTAATTGCTCTGTAATTCTAATAACAAAACTGCAATTCCAAACAGGAATACTGCAGAAGGAACTATTAACTTCAAACCACAGTAATGGTGAGACAGTCCCTAATCGTTCTCCAGTTTTCTGGAAAAATATTCTATTGTGGGCCCAGTGGGGCATTTCTGCTTCGGACCCAACCAATATAGAATTCTTCATATTATTTTTAATGTAGTACTCATTGCATTCGATGTAAAGGAGTGTAGGCACCACTACTTGCTTAAGCTAGCTGCACTACTTAAAGCTGCAAAGTCATGCAGAATCACTGAGTCTTTTGTGTTTCTTTGCTGCACACTTTCCCTTTACTGTATATTGCATAAGTTTCTGGTTGCCTCCATACTTTGTGTGTGTGTGTGTGTGTGCAATTTCTGATGTTTTCTTCCTGCTGTTGCCGTTGCTGTGTATACAATGCTGTACCTTCAAGCCTATGAATTTCAGTAGTAAGGGAATCATTTGCAGAATTTTAGAGGTTTGGCAGGATGGAAAGCAATTCTGTTTACAGGTGGAGTAGATGAAATACCCCAGTTTGAAATCATTTATTCTTCTAAAGCAGCCATGTGTTTATGTGAGTGTATGCGTATGCATGCGTGTGCCTTTGAGTCAGTTTATTTTTACTTCTGCAACGGCCTGGACAAGCTGCTGCAGATTTCAGAAATAGTTTGCTCTTTTCTCCTTCCTAGAGCAGTGAGAGAATGAGTGGCTCAAGGTCACCCAACTGGCCCTCCCAATTTCTAGCCTGATGTCTCAACCACTAAACCAGGGGTCCCCAATCCCCGGGCCATGGACCAGTACTGGTCAGTGGCCTGTTAGGAATCGGGCTGAATAGCTGGAGGTGAATGGCGGGCTAGTGAGTGAAACCTAAACCATTCCCCCCCTTCCCGCAGTCCATGGAAAAATTGTCTTCCACGAAACCGATCCCTGGTGCAAAAAAAATTGGGGACTACTGCATTACACCAAACTGGCTCTCTTAAAAATGGCACTTCCCAGTTTATTATCTTCCAAACCCTGGGCCTTGAACCCCCACATAATTGGGAATTCTGGGAGTTGCCATCCAACGCTTGTGGAGGACACCAGTTGGGGACAAGTGAAACCAAACCTTATTTATCATTGGTAATAAAAACTGAAAATCGGTTACCCAGCAAAGGAACATATTGAGACTTCCTGCCCTTTCCATTTGCCCTCTGGCCGCTGGGCCACAAGCAATTACCCAGGATATTTTCCTTATCTCCTCATTTGTTGGTGTGTTTTTTTAGTTGCAGGGTGAGTGTAAAGTCAAGGTGGTATCCCCTTTTAATCTACTTATTTGCTGGTTCATTGAGCTGCTGGGATTCAGCAGTAAATGCTCAGCCAGCTATAAGATAAGGTCAGAGGGGCTTCAATTCCTGAGATGAAAAAAACCCTGCAGGCGGAAATCTTTGAGAAAAGAGTTTCAGATGGAAGCCAAGGGCTCTAAGTTCAGGACTGAAATCAGTTTGCTTAGAGCCATAGCTCAGTGCTTTTGATGAAACTCTACGCATTTCCTTTTATGAGGAAAAAAAAAGCTTTTCACCAAAAGCATACATGTTCCCATCCTTGTGATAATCTGAGGAACTATGCTTGGAGACCGGAGCAGGTGCTTCCATGCGTGATTTGTGCACTGTTTTTGACACGGATGCCTTGATTTCTAAGTACTGATTGTCAATGGGATACAATGCTCTCGGCCTGGTGTCTTCCATCTTCTAAGTATGGCCTTAAGGTGCCTTGAGTTTCTTAGGAGTTTGTGGATTATGGCTTTTGGAGTGCCAGACTCTCTGAAAGTCAGTAAGCCCTTAATGAGATTTGTATATACAGTAGATATATATTGATTGTAGGCATTCTTTGGATGTTTATTCTTTTAAAGCTCCAGAGTGTCTTTTGTTATCCTGACTGTATGAAAATAATGTGGAAGGCTCCTTTTCAGAAAGAGCAGAATAATATCTGGTTAATGATTTCCAAAGTAGTAAAAGAAGGGGCTATTCCAGCAAAAGCTCCTTCTTAAAGAAGGGGAGGAGGTGGGGGGGGACAAACGTTAGCAAAGAAAACAGTAATTGTCAACTTTAGGTTTCCCATTAAATGCTTTATTACTGTATTGCAGAAATGCGTGAACATTAGAATTCTGTTCGTTATATCTCTCAGCAGAGCTAGGTGTGTGAAATCTTTAGTATTTCTAGTGTGAAATTTTAAGTGCCTTTCCAATATTGCTTCATTTATCTGTGAGTTATTAATGCATACTCGTTGAATAATTTACCTGATGGCCCTCAGTGACAAACAAAATGACACTTTAATGGCATTGCTCATACAGGCAGCTGGCTGTTGAACTTAAGAAAGGCAAACACATCTTTAGTTATGTGATGCTAGGCTTTTACGAGGAACTTTCAAAGCAGTGGAATTCATTTACACTCTATCATTTTATTCATTTTATAGGGGTATAAAATGCTACAGGTACAGGTACATCAATAAAGAGAAAATCCTATTAAAGGGATAGCTATTTTGTAGGCTGTGAATGAAGAAAGAGAGATTAAAAGAACATTACAGGTAGTCCTTGACTTACGACCACAATTGATCCCCAGATTTATGTTGCTAAGTGAGACATTTGTTAAGTGAGTTTTGCCCCATTTTATGACTTTCCTTGCCAGAGTTGTTAAGTGAAACATTGCAGTTGTTAAGTTAGTAACCCGGTTGTTAAGTGAATCTGGCTTCCCCATTGACTTTGATTGTCAGATGGTCGCAAAAGTTGATCACATGAACCTGGGACACTGCAACCGTCATAAATATGAACCAATTGCCAAGCATCACACGATTGTGGGGATGCTGTAATGGCCATAAGTGTGAAAAACGGTCATAAGTCACTTTTTTCAGTGCCATAACTTTAAACGGTAATTAAACAAACTGTTGTAATTCGATGACTAGCTGTACTGAAATAATCTGTCATGATTATGGTTGTTAGCCTCATATATGGGCATCGTTGTGGGGAGCAAAGAGTCCACATCGGTGGTCCCAACTGTAGCCATTTTAAGATGTGTGGTCTTCAACTCCCAGCAATGCTGGCTGGGGTATGCTGGGAATTGAAGTCCATCCATCTTAAAATGGCTAAAGTTGGGAAATGTTGATCTATATGGTCATGATGGCCCAGATGGACTGCTCTGTATCTGTTTTATTTGCATGACGATGCATCTAAAAAAGGCGTAGGGCTTTGATCCATGGTTTTGATAACCATTTTTATTTGCTTGACCTGCCCCCCCGCCCCCAAGTGATTCCCCTGCCCTCATGAAAATTGTTAACTCGGACTGCAGTGAGGAGACCCAGGTTTAACTCCTTTATAAAATCTAGGTAGTTCTCGACTTATGACTGTAACTGAGCCTGAAATTATGATTGTAAATAGTTGTGGTTATTAAGTGGGTCACCATGTGACCAGACCTGATTTTTATGACATTTTTTGTATGGTTGCTAAGCGAATACATTTTACCCAATGGACGTTTGTTGCTGGAAATCAGAAGTAAACATGGAAACTGATAAAAAATGTCTAAAAATTGCGGTCACATGACCGTGAGATGCTACAAATAGCTGTAAAGGTCCCACACGAGTGATGCCCCCTCTCCTCCATAACATATTGATTCATGCAGGATGATTGTCTGCAGGGAAAAAGCGTTTGCATGTGAGGATTCTTGTTTAAATCAAAGCTGATACTTTTATATGAATATTAATACATATCTG